GACAGTTCGGTCAGTCCTGCTATACGGTGCAGAAACTTGGCCATTAAGAAAACAGGATAAAGATAGGCTGTCGGTGTTTGAAAACCACTGACTACGCAGCATTGCACGAATCTGGTGGGGCAGTCGGATGAGCAATGCTGAGATTAGACACAGTTTTGGGTATCCGCGGTCGCCCACTGGAGCAAGTGGTCGACCTCCATAGATTACGTTGGTTCGGACATATGTTACGCATGCCACTAGATAGGTTGCCACGGCGAGCGATGTTCGCTGAGACAGGTAGTGGGTGGAAGAAAGTCAAGGATGGTCAAGCTAAGACCTGGCACGAGGGTATCAAAACCCTAACCAGGAGACTGGGTCACATAGTTCCCGTTAGGCTCCCTGGCTGGGGACCTCGGGATAATCGTAACCGATGGTTAGAGACACTGAGTGATATGGCTGGGTGTCGCAACCAGTGGCGTTCGTGTATCTCCTTAAGTTCTTTGCAACCTTGAACCACTGAACTTCTCCATTTTCTGTTCGATTTCACTTCCAGGTTTCCTTTCTTCTCCTATTCTTCATCCAAATGGGCAGTCAAAAGACAGAAACCAAAACCGGCGCACGAATATGCATGGTTAATGGTTGTACAAACTGAACTGAAATGAACTTATCCAAGTTCCGCTCGTCTCATTGGGTGCATGAGTCTAAGAGCCGATCCGGAAAAGCGGACCGTCAACCAACGCACCAGGGAACAAAACACTGAACCGAAATTCAAGAGCCTTGCGTGGCAGGTCTCCAGAAGCTCTCACACGAGTGAATTGTTTACGCTCTCGTGTTGGATCTGCGCTTCGCTGCCTTGTGGGTCAAACTTTTCAGTCGAAGGCTTCGGTTAGGATTCCTAAAGAAAAACCGCTTCGTCGGTGTGAGCTACCGCGAAGCATCCCGTGCCCCAAAGTCTTAGGTATCCATTTGGAAAACCATTTTCTCATCTTTCCACTTCCTCATCTCACTCCCAAACCTTGGGACATGCAGACTGTTTGCGTCACCCATGGGATATCAATCAACGTTCAACCAATGAGGCCAACCACTCAGAGGCTATCACATTTTGAAACTAAAACCTCCTTTTCACTTAACCACATTTAATGACCGCAAACTGTGCCAGATCGGTCAACAAGCTGCCTCAGCTAGACCCCTTGAAACCCTCCATTTAGATGTATACTGTCTCCGAAACAGACATACAAGACCCTACATCAATCACCTTGCATTCTCCAGATCCAACCACATCCTCACGCTTCACACTGCGCGTCAGCTGATTCAGCATCCGAAGCTCGCGGTGCTGCTGGTGTCGGGATGGCGCTAGGTGCCAAGGCTGAGCGCTCGCTTCTTGACTGGATTCCAGCCAGTAGCCCATTGTGTGCTGTACGTCTCAACGGTTCAGTTCGAGTCAACAGCTACAGAACGAAGCGTCGATGCTTGTTCGTCGAATCGGCGTAGGCACCGACCGATTGCAGTGTACCTGAAATCAAGGATGAATTCTACAAGGATTTTTCTCAACTACTCCAAAGTGCTCGATCAACGGACGTCGTATTAGTCGCTGGAGACTTCAATGCTCAAGTGGGATCCCTGGACGAATCAGAAAGGCTTCTTGGTGGACCACGTGCAATCCCAACCAACCGGACGGATAACAGAGATCGCCTACTTCAACTCTGCGCGGACCATGGATTGTTCCTGTCAAACACGAACTTCTCGCACAAGAAACGCCATCAACTTACATGGAAACCGCCAATCTCTTCACTGCGCTGGACCCAAATCGACCACATCCCTATCAGTTACCGCTGGAGGGGATCAATTCAAGACTGCCGCTCTTGCTGGTCAACATCTGTGGATACAGACCACGCCTTGTCATGAGCCAAGTTCTCCTTATGCCTGGCAAACAACCGCAAAAAAGTCACCGACAACGTATATCCACGATACAGTGTCAGCGGTTTATGAAAATCGGTATTCGAAGCGGAGCTCTCCGATCGCCTGTCAGTTCAACCACCAGACGAAGGACTCAATGAACACTGGAAGCAAATCAAGGAAGCTATGCAGATATCGATAAAAACAACGTCGGACCCTGCCTCAAGCTCAAAACACAAACGATGGATATCACCGACCTCGGCTGCCCTGCTAGACGCCCACAGAACCCTCCCTCCCGATGCCACATACGACACACCGCGCAAATCCCTTAAACGCCAGCTCATCAAGAGTCTGAAGAATGACTGCGAGAAGTGGTAAGTAAAAAAGTGTAAAGAGACGGAGAAAGCTGCGGCTATTGGTAATAGTCGTAACCTTTTCCATCTAATTAGGAATACGGGCCCTAGGAAAATAGGCGTAAGTGAGGTGATTAAGGAATCCGATGGCACACCGGTTCACGATCAGCAACGCCGTCTTGATCGATGGGCTGAACACTTCAAGGCTCAATTCAACTGGCCCCCATCGACATCTCTCCGCCTCGACTGGAGAAATACTCCCAGTTGATGCTAGCCCTCTATCTGAAATGGAGGTTTCTCGGGAAATAAGGTATCTCAAAAGGCATAAGGCCTCTGGCCCAGATGGGCTGTTCCTATCAGCGTTTAAGGATGGAGGCTCAGTGTTAGTCTGGGAGTTGACAAAACTCCTGGGTTCAATATGCGAAAGGGAACAGGTTTCAGCTGAATGGTGTGAGTCGGTGATCATACCGATTTACAAGAAAGGTAATAGATCCTCTTGTGAAAACCGCAGAGGAATCAGTTTAATCAACATTGCCTCTAAACTTCTCGCTGGCATCATACTCCGCCGATTGTTTGCCGCACGTGAACCGATCCATTAATGACCGTCATTCTTACTGTTGAACACCCTTGTGCACGGGCGATGTTCTGGTAAGAGCGAGATTTTCCCCAAGCTGAGTAAACAACTGCCAAATAGCCACCGAAAACGGATGCGCACGATACAGTGAGCAATGGTTGCACATCGGCCTTCGAAGTGGAATTGTCAAGTCGCCTCTGGTCAAACACTAGCCGAAGGACTCAGTGAACACTGGACGGCAATCATTAAAGCCGAATTCAGGTAGCACTTCGCAGAAAACGATAATGTCAAACCCTGCCTCAGACTAAAAGCGCAGCCACACTCTAGTTTGTTCCTAGATGTTCGTGATAGAAAGGATGAGCATTCAGCTCACCACTGACCACCGGGAGCTGCAAATTCTTAGGGATAATATGACACCTCAACTTAGGACGATCACTGACTCCTTAACCAACGAAGCCATTCAGCTTTCCAAAGTGGCCAACAGAATGAATGCAACAATGAAAACTCTAGAGGCGAACACCGGCAGCTTTGCAGCCGTCCGGTTCAATACCACGCCTAACCTAGCGGGGCCTGCTGTGGTTCGCCACTCCAAGTCCCGGGGCTTGGGTTACCGGTTTCCACCAATAAAACAGCAGGTCCTCGTAACTATGGGGTTTACCCCGTTCGCTGTTCACTTGAAAGTTTGTAATCGCTCTCGGAAGGCGTAGGAATGTAATAAATAAGGGCATAACTGAGCCCTTCCGTTGGGTTGCAAAGCCGAGGGAAGTGCAAATAAGGCACCAAGTCACCTATACTCCGACTACCGGGTACTCCTCACGCAACCATCAAGAGGGTTTTAAGCCTAGGCAAATGGCCTCCTAAGGGGAGGCCTGTGCTTTTCGAGTTCAGCAACCCTTGGCACAGAGAACCTTTACTCGCATCTTCTGCCCAACTGAGGGCAGAGACCAAGGGGGTAATAGCAGTAGAACCAGACAATGCTACCAAGAGTGGCATAGAAAAACCGCTCCTGAAGTAGTTCAATATGTCAATATATCGTGACACCCCCACGATTTTAATACCAAGCGGGATCGGCTNATCGGCTTAATTTTCGAATTGTTTTTTCTTTGAAGATGTTATGCAGGAGAAATACAATCACATCTGTTGGTAGGCGGCAATATTGTCATCCGGTTCAACATTGGACCCATGCTGGTGGTTCATCGCGCCAAGTCCAGGGATTTGGGTTTCAGCTTACCATAAGTGAACAACGGACTAAGGGGTTTACACCGTCTGTACCTAATAACAAATAATGTGATACAAAGAATATTAGCATGAAAACGTTAAGCTGACAACACAACTCAAACTTCATTCAGCACTACTAAGTAATGTAAATATTTTAAATACAACTGTTTATACCTTTCAGCAAAAAGAGGACCGTAAATGTGGAAAGCTTTATGAACAAGCCCCTGGGGTGATTCCGAATGCGCCTGAATGAGGTTAGTATTTCTGTGGATACGAAATCGACCGAACATTGCAGAAAGTCGAGCGATACCGAAGTACACAGGCATTTCGGATGGAACAAAAAAAGCGCGAGAAACCTCGCAAACTGAAAGATTAAGAACAAAAGGAAACCTGAGGCCTACATCGATCTGTCACTTAAAATGCAAGATTTTACTGTCCATAGCCAGGTTGCACTTACCTGAGCGCGATGGAACGAAGAGAGGTAGATGAAAGTTGAATTTTGATCATAGGTCTTGAAGTGATCCTCGAATGCATTCTAAAACGATCAAAACCTCATTTGCAGTAAACAAACCCGGGCGATTGTATCTGAAAATATTGCACGCGGCACATTAGCAACGATAAGCTTCAACGAAGCATCTTTGAGAACTTTGAAAACTTCTTCAATTTCTTCATAGGAAAATTCGGAGCCCTCGCCGGCTAATTTCTCTTGAATCAAACGAATATGGGCATCGACTTGAGACATCATGTTATGACTATTCGCAACCAGCGTGTTAAATATTCACACAACTTCAAGGTCAGGGTTCGGGTCAGGTCAGGTCAGGTCAGGTTGCACAGGACTG